TTTTTTTTTTTTTTAACTCCATACAAGTTCATTCAGTTTATCATACTATCAGGTGTAGAGACAAAGCCCTGCTTCATCTGTCTTCTTGATCCGCATCCCAGGTTGGCACTGCCTACCTGCGTGTCAGGCTGGTCCTGGATGGTTCAGTGTGGGAGCTCGCCATGTTGTCTTGGGACCCCGTTATCATAACATGGGAATCTGCCACTCTCTGATGAAAGTTCTCTGCCGCTGTCCAGGCTCCTGCTGCCTCAGGGATGGTGGCCATCCTGCTCTGTTTGTGAGTGCTCCGTGCATGTGGCCTCTGGAGACACACTCTGTTTCCATTCCCAGAGTGTACCTTCTCTTTGACTGCCTGCCCCTGCCTCATCACAGATGCTCACATCCACCTGCTGTGTGGTCTCAGGTCACTCACTTCTTTGTGATCCTGCCAGCCTCACCAGCTCCCCTGGCCCAGGTCCCACCACCATCTGGTTTCCTAACTAGGACCAACTACATGCTGCCTGCCTGGAATGGACAGCCTGTCTCATCTATAGGCCGCTGGGTGGCCTCTCAGAATATGGGGAAGGGCTATTCATCTTCTCTCTATGGTTTGGGACACTAGAAAGGCCATGTCAGTCAAAAGCCAGCAGACCCCCTTCTGCAAGAGCTCTCTCTGCTTTGTCTTACAAGCATCTCCTCTGGGCTCTGACAGGTAAGACAGCTGTGTGCCTGCATATACCAAACACTGTCTGCAGTTGGAGAAGGATCTTAATCCTGACTCTAACTGCCCTGCCCTCTGTTGCTCACGGCCTATTCCTGCACAGCTAACATACACGGTGGTTCACATGCATGGCCAAGATGCAGTGAGCACAGACTCGCACAGATCTCCAACATGCTGCAGACAGAGGAGAGGGCTTATTAAAACTTGGTTTCTGGGAAGGAGATTAGACGGGAGTGGAGAGGAAGGAACATGGAGAGGAAGGAGCAGGGAAGAATGAAGGGAGGGAAGAGGAAATTTTCTGTGATATGAGACAAGAGGCAGGTCACAAGAAGAGAAGCAGAGCCCCTGGGATGTGGCAGGGAGGTTATGTTAAGCAGTTCCGCATCCAGGTCAAGTCCGGACGCAGCTCTGGACTGTCTCCCAGAGCTGACTAGGGAAGCTCTTGGGTGGGCCAGGTGGGCACACACATCCTGGGGCCTTGTCTCAGCTGCTCTCCAACCCATAATTGAATTAACTCTTTCAGTGTCTTGGCGACCAAAAGAAACGAATCCCGGGAAGCCCCAGATGAGTCAGCTGAGCTTGTTTGTAAAAAGTCAAATGAGTCTTTCCCTGGAACCATAAAGCCAGAAGGATCAAGACAGTCTCAGTCCCCACTCCATCCATTAGTCAGTGATTCTCAAACTTCAGGGTGAGTGAAAATCACATGGGAACTTGTTTCAAATGCAGGTTCCCAGCTGGTGTTTTTAAACAAACATCCTGGGCATTGCTAAATAGTCCTAGAACTTTGAGAAACACCACTTCCCTCCTTCAGTCCCCAAACTGTACATTTTTAATAAAATAGAGGTGTGTTTCTTTTTAAAACTTTTTGTGTTGTTGCTGAAACCCACACTGAACTCAGTTTTGGAACAAGATCTATGACCATCTGGCCCCTGACCTGGACGCCAATCAGGGAGGATTCCCCAAGTGTCACCTCTGCCCTTTGGGAGCCAGCAAGCCAGGGCGGCCACGATTAGTGCCCGGCACGCAGTAGGCACCAGTAATTTTTCAATTCATCAGAGACATGGACAAATAAGTAACTGATGTGCTGATGATTAGCAGGAAGGCTCAGAAGATAAGACCAAAAGGAAGTATCAAGTACCAGTCAGAGCCAGGTGTCACTGGGTAGGAGGCAAAGGCAGATATGTCTCTGAGGAGTGAGGACAAGGGTGGAAGAAATGAAGACACAGAGGTTCCACCTCTAGATGGTGTGGTCTAAGGAGGCCATCTCTGGCAACTCTTCAAGCAGTTACAACACTGCTTTCGTGAATTGATTCAGCTCATGAGCACCGCTGTCCACCCTACTCCCCTCTAGCACACAGCCATCTGCCTCATCTACCACCTGGCCTTCAGCCTCCCACTTTCTTCCACTGGCCCAGACACACCTGGCCTGGGGACATTGTCTAGGAAGTGACCTTGTCCTCAGAGAACCCGCAACCCAGTGATTCTGTTTATCAGGATTGGTGCCCATGTGTGCTTCCCTCCAAGGTGAAGACTCGGAAAAGAAGAGGAAGATGTGGGATGTGAAAAGCTGGCCTTTAGATGATGGGAGAGTAGAGATGACTGCTGAGCCACGGCTTAACATAGGGCTAGGATGCCTGGTTGGGGAGGAAGGGGAGAGGCATTCCTGCTGCGGGTCTTAACACAGGACAACTGTGACAGCCAACAGCCACTCCTGGCCTTTCAGGTCTCGAGCTTATTCTTTCTTTGGAGGCCTCACCCAAATTGTATCCTACATAATAAAATGCCCTAACACTAAATACAACACTTTAAATAATTTGAAAGGATTTATGTAACTCTACCTTGGAAATAACTGGCCATGAGGGTTTTTTTTAATCTTTTATTATTTTTGAGAGAGAGAGAGAGAGACAGAATGAGAGCAGGGGAGGAACATTGACAAAGGGAGATGCAGAATCTGAAGCAGGCTTCAGGCTCCAAGCTGTCAGCACAGAGCCCGACAAGGGGCTCGAACCCATGAACCATGAGATCATGACCTGAGCCGAAGTTGGACACAACCAACTGAGCCACCCAGGCGCCCCTTTTTCTTAATTTTTTTTTTAATCTTTTGAGTTTTTTTTTAAACACATCTTTGACTATGACTTCTCAACGATCATCATGCATATGAGGTGACTGGGTGGCTCAGTCAATTAAGTGTCCGACTCTTGATTTCAGCTCAGGTCATGATCTCATGGTTTGTGAAATCGAGCCCTGTGTTGGGCTGAATGCTGACAGAGCAGGGCCTGCTTGGGATTCTCTCTCTCTCCAAGTAAATAAATAAACATTTATAAAACATCATCATGCATAGAGATGAAATCTAACAAATTTTGTAAAAGTAATGAAAATATTTTAATATTAAGTTTGACAGTGTAATGAAACTGACAATGTTACGTTTTGTAAACAACTACATATTAATTTTTTTACATTTTTGTATTTTTAATTTTTTTTTTTTCAACGTTTTTATTTATTTTTTTTGGGACAGAGAGAGACAGAGCATGAACGGGGGAGGGGCAGAGAGAGAGGGAGACACAGAATCGGAAAGAGGCTCCAGGCTCTGAGCCATCAGCCCAGAGCCTGACGCGGGGCTCGAACTCCCGGACCGCGAGATCGTGACCTGGCTGAAGTCGGACGCTTAACCGACTGCGCCACCCAGGCGCCCCATACATTTTTGTATTTTGATGGCAATGATATCTTAAAGGTTTTGTACATTTTCATAGGCTCTTGGCATTGTGCTTAAGGGGCCTAGTGGCTATACCTGCTCTAGTGATGAAGGACTTTGACTTTCCGGACATCCTCTAGCAAGCTCTCTGGCAAGCAAGCAAAGTGTCTGACTGATTCTTCTGCTTTGTCAATGGCGTCATCCCCTTGAGGACAAAGAGGGCCTGGATTGTCTCAATCTGTGAAGCCAAGAGATTTGGATACCAAGGAGATATATTCCTATCTATGTCTCTTTATTATGATATATGATATCACAAACCATGAAATCATGACCTGAGCTGAAATCAAGAGTTGGACACTTAACTGACTGAGCCACCCAGGCATGCCCTATGCATGATGATTGTTGAGAAGTCATAGTCAAAGACACGTTAAAAAAAACTCATGGCCAGTTATTTTCAAGGCAGAGTTATATAAATCCTTTCAAATTATTTAAAGCACTATATATGGTGGCTTTCCAGGGATGAGGTTTTTGATATTACATGAGTCTCATTTTTTTTTTCAGAGCAAAGTTGATGTACTTAGTCAAATAAGATATTGCCTCCACCCCAAAAAAATCTCCAGGAACCCAAGGCATGGGAAGGAATACTTCTTGGCATATTTCTTCGAGTCAGATTTAGGGGTTGGCCATAGCTCTGCTTGCATGGCCATGGCCTTGGGGACCTCAAAGATGATGAACCAACACTAATGTGGAGAAGGGGACATGAGGAAAGGGTTTACTTTAAGCCTTAAGTGTGACCTTCAAGGAGGTGTGGGTAAAGTGGAAAGGACAAAAACCTTTTGAAGACAACCCAGCCAAAGAGCTAGGGAGGGAAAAGCCATGCAGGGTCTTGTCTTCCATGTACAGGGGAGGCCAACTTGGTAAGCCAGAAAAAGGATGAGCATGACTGACTCCATGATTGGAGGAGTCATCTTCAAAAAAAAATTAAAAATAAATACAGTAGAGCATGGCTAACATGTAACTATCAATGAGGACTTTGAAATAGCTATATTTACCATAAAGAAACTAGTCTAGTGGAAAAGGTGGACAATATGTGTAACAGTTGGGGAATTTGAGTAAAGAGTAGGAAATTTTAAAAATGAATGGAAAAATGGAAATGCTAGAAGTGAAAATCTTAATATCAGAGATGAGGAATTCCTTCAACAGGTTTATCAATAAACTGGACAAAAGCAGAGGAAAAAAAAAAACAAACCTGTGAACTTGGAGCTAGCTCAGTAAAAATGAACCAAACTGTATCACAAAAGTAAAAGCAAACAATTAAGCAAACCCAAAACTAAGCACCGAGACATATGGCACAATGACAAATGATCTAACACGTATGTAATGGAAGTCTCAGAAGAAGAGGGGAGACAGAATGGGGCAGAAGAAATATTTGAAGAGATAATCACTCAGAATCTCCCAAATTCACGAAAGACAGAACCACAGATCCAAGAAGCTCAGAGGACCCCAAACAAGATAAATGGGAAGAAAAACACACCTAAGCATAGCATAGTCCCAACTGTTGAAACTAAAGATAAAAGAACATCCTGAAAGTAGCCAGAAAGAAGAAAAAATTACATAAAGAAGCAAGAAGCAGTCTTCTTAGAAACTCAGCAGGGTGCCTGGGTAGCTCAGTCAGGTGTCTGACTCTTGGTTTTAGCTCAGGTCATTGTCTCGCAGTTCATGGGTTCAAGCCCTGAGTTGGGCTTTACGCTGACAGTGCAGAGCCTGCTTGGGATTCTCTCTCTTTCTCTCTGCCCCTCCCACACTCTCTTTCTCTCTCAAAATAAATTAATTAACAAAGAAAAGAAAGAAAAAATAAACTCAACCAGATGGTTCCTGAGGCCCAGCTCTATCCCTGCCATATAGGTCCACAAGATAAACCCAGTAACATTCCAGAATATTCTCCCATCTGGGGGGCTGATATGAGCTTGGGCAGATTTCTGTTACCTGCAAAAACAACAATGGGGTGCAGCCGAGCAGTGGCTCAGCTAAGCAGCAGCCTGCAGGGCACTGGCTCTCCAGTTCACCACCTGCAGCCCCACCACCACCACCCCATGCCACACCCAGCCCTTCTCTACACACACCCCACCCTGAACTGGCTGTGGCCACATCACCCCTCAAATACTATTTATTGGCTGTGAGTTGGAAGGAGGTAGAGTAGGTAGAGGCTAGACATACTAGTAGACTGGCCTCGACGCCCATCGAGGTAGGCCCTGGGATCTGAATGTTGCTCCAAAGCCTTTCCCCAAGCGTGACCAGCCTGGAACAACCAAAGCCTGAGTCCAGTTGGGACACCTGTCAGGACTTTGCTGAGTGGATGGTCATTGCCATTGGTGGCAAAGTCTGTGAGAGGCAGCCAGTTGCCATAATTCAGAGTTGCCATGTGGTCAAGAAGATTCAGGTTTCCTCCCCCACGACCCATGTTCAGAGAGTCCCTGTGTTGGCTTCTGTGTGGCCTCACTTTCCAGAAGAGTTCCTTTGCTGCAGGAGCCACAAGGAGGCAGCAAAGAGCTTGTTTCAGGGCCTCAGCTGGCCTGGAGAATCAGAGGGGTTGAATTTAAAATCTGGGCACTGATGAAAGATGGACACAGCTGAAACTGGTGGGCTTTCCCTGAGACAGTACTCGGCTGAGTGTGGAAAGTAAGTATGGCAAAGGTAGGGGAAAGAGACAAGAGATTCCTGACTCCTCCTTGGACATCTGGATCCTGCAGACAATTCCTGGTTGCCAGGGTCCTCTCTCCCTCAGTCAGGGCCACTTCATCCTCCTTTGACCACCCCAGCAGGGGCCTCAGCTCTGCAGTTCAGAGTGCTGTCTTTGCAAATGATTCTTCAGGCAACTGATTTTTAGGAACTCTGCCAGGCGGCCCTACTTGAGACTTCCTCAAACACGCATTATGTCCTCATTCATTCATTCATTCATTCAACAAATATCTATTGGGCACCTAATACTGGGCACGATTC